GGGCGTCGGTTAGCAAGCTTCTTACCACAGGAAATGACTGCCTGCCGCCCAGTTGTTGGAGAAGACGGGCAGTTGATATCATGCTGGGAACATGGTTAGGATCGATGCCTAATCCTTTGTTGTATGCTTGCAAAGCATCTCGTGGGAGACCCTTAGACTCATACAGTAAACCTACCAGATTCATCAGTAATTGATTAAAAAATAAAATAGAATGAGGAGAACAATAGATGGGAAAGTATTTGAGCCACAATAGTAAATGGGGATGATGTTTACCTGTGGAATACCATTTAGAAGCAGAATATGGATTGATTGCCTGCAATTTTGATAGGCAGATCTCAGCATCCCGCCACTGAGACAAGCTTGTGTACATATTGGCCAAATCATTCCATGTTTCTATTTCCAGACTTCTGTCAGATGTTCTCACCGAGACATCCTGTATTAAGGTGAAACAAAGCAATAAATAATAAATGAACTAACTGTATTAACTCAGCTTGATGGTTATAGTAATACAAGTGAGAAGGCACCAAATCCGGTCTCTCAAACCTCATAAGACATTTTAAAAGACAAGAAAATTCAGTTTTCATGCGAGCTGGAGGAAGAGAACTTCCAGATACCAAAACATTAATCCACAAGAACTCAGTGAAATGTCTTTAAAATCTAGAGTAAAATCATTAACCATGATATCTCAATAACAATACAAGAAAAAGCTTTGATCTTACGAAATTGAATCCCTTACCTTTGAAAGCATCTTTCCAACTCCACTACTTTTAGTCCGGACTCGAATTATAGCAAGAAGATGAGTATATGTTTCTATACTGCTCTTTAACTGGCCCTGTGCAATCTGGAGCTTAGCTTTAGTTCGTAAGAGTTCGCCCTGTTCCCACTTCCCTGTCTGCTCAAGAGCAGCGTTGATTACAGTCTCTGCATCCCCAAACCGTTTCTGGGAGGACAATATTCTGGCCAAGAGGATGTACGACTTCACACTAGACCCAGCCTCGAGTATCACTAGCTGTTTTGCGTAGTATAGAGCAATATCCAGCTTCCTCTGTTCAGCATATTCAAGACAAAGATGATACACAATGAATGGATCCCTTTGTTTCATCAGTTGCTCAGCGGTTTGTAGTGCCTTGAGTGCCTCAGATTGCTTCAAAGATTTCTGAGAATCAGAAGCAATTGATTTGGATATGGCTGACAGTAATACACCATGTAAGCAATTAGCAATGGAAACCATCTGGATGCATCTACCATCCAGTTCCGAAAGCACTCTCAATATGTAAGTCACCCCCTCATCGAGACAAACCAAATTCTCTCCACAGAGCTTTGAAGCTAACAACAATTCCAGTAAGCAGCCTACATTATCTTTGTTATTCAAGAAGTTCTTCAAAAGGTTCAACGCAACTAAGCTTTTACCTTCCCCGTAGTAACAAAGAGCTAGTGTCCAGTACTTCTCTTTCCTTCCTATAGTTCCTGGAGGCAATTGTTCAACCTCATTAGCTAGAGCTCCAAATTCCCCAACAATAGACAGTGCAAACGAGAGATGCTCTGTTATTGATGGGTCCCAAACAACCAATCCATGTATATATTTTCCCAACAGATCCATTAACATGCTCTGTTATTGATGGGTCCCAAACAACCAATCCATGTATATATTTTCCCAACAGATCCATTAACAAAAGAATGGCTTCTTCCATATTATTTCTTGGCACAAATGAGCTTTCCATCTGCAAACGGAGATTGGGAGGACTTGCATCACAACCACTATAGAGAAGGAAAATTGCAAACTCTTTTTCTATTTTTGCTATTGGGAGGACTTGCATCACAACCACTATAGAGAAGGAAAATTGCAAACTCTTTTTCTATTTTTGCTCTAGTTTCCATTTCTAGATTCCATTGGTAAATAAGGGCACGCCTGTATGACAAGATAGATTCTTCAGGAGACCCGGCAGATTTCCACAATTCTGGAAGCAATTCAACAGCCTTTGTTAGTGTCCCTTGCAATTTACAATCATTGGCGAAATTTTCAGGTAAGCCTTCGGGTAATGCAGATTCAACAGTGTCTAAAAGTAGTTTGCAAGATTTTGCTGCCTCTGCAGATTATAAACAAAAAGGGAAAAAAATATGAATACAGATGGGGAAGAAAGAGGATCCTTTGAAAATCTTAAAGCAGCAGGGGGAGAGAGAGAGAGAGAGAGAGGATGGGGAAGAAAGAGGATCCTTTGAAAATCTTAAAGCAGCAGGGGGAGAGAGAGAGAGAGAGAGAGAGGAGAAAATACCTACAAACCTTCCTAAACCCTGTAATGATTTTGCTTTCAGAAAAATAGCTTCAAGAAGTAAACTAATGGCATGCATAGACATAGTAGGCACAACATTTTGCTTTCAGAAAAATAGCTTCAAGAAGTAAACTAATGGCATGCATAGACATAGTAGGCACAACATCACTTTGTGATTGCCGTCTATTTTGTTCATATCTCGTTGAAATGGAAGCTTTTATCCTGGAAATTACAGCAACAATGTCTATTCCTTCAAAAACATGAAGAGCAGCTTCTATGTTACCCTTTTGGTACTCGAGCCTTCCAAGTAAAGCACGTGCTTCCTAGAAAATTAAAAGGTACTGTAGCTCACTTTCAACAACAGCAAACATGATATTTCAAAAAATTGTTGTGGACTATCATATTCTAATATCCAATAGAATTGTACATGGTCAAATGGCTGCATCCAGGGCGATTGAATCTATAAGAAATTTGAAGAAATACTTATATAGACACTATCTTCTGCCTCATGAAAGTGCTTTTTTCAGGTGATGTCCTCAACAAAAGACACAATGAGCGACACTATCTTCTGCCTCATGAAAGTGCTTTTTTCAGGTGATGTCCTCAACAAAAGACACAATGAGCTAATCTTATAACACAGTGAATTTCTTGCTTCTTTCCATAAAACAGTGGTTTCATTATTGACGAGAGACAAACCTCATAATTCAGATAACCACTCTCACGAAGAGATGATTCAGCTTCTTCAATGTTGGCATTAACAAACCTCATAATTCAGATAACCACTCTCACGAAGAGATGATTCAGCTTCTTCAATGTTGGCATTATCCACCTTCGGTTCCACCTCCCCAGTACGTGATGAAAAACCACTGGCTGAATAGTCTCGAGTTGCCAGAGAATCTGATGAATGCATCATTTCATCCACTTTTAATTGATCCCCTGAACGAATACAGTTTATCATCTTGCTAAATTTATTCTTGAGGCGTAAAATTTGCTCATTCATCCAGGCCTTTGCTCTCATGCTGGCTCATTCCACCGAAAATCTGTGAAAGCAGATCATATAAAAGGGAGAGAGGGAGAGGATTAGAACTTCTTACAAACCAGTTTCAGTGATAAGGCACGCAGTTCAAAATTTTAGCATATTACGAAAATTAAATACTAAATACTCGATCAATAAACACGGAGTGTTCAAGCAATTGGAGAAATGAATGGTTTAGAAGTCGAGAAGAGTCAACTCAAAATAAACACGGAGTGTTCAAGCAATTGGAGAAATGAATGGTTTAGAAGTCGAGAAGAGTCAACTCAAATTCCCAAATAGTATTTTCCTGGTCGTTTCCTTCAAAGTATTTGTTCTAAAATACCTCCTAGCATATAGAAACCCATCCATTCCAGCAAAACTTTCTACAACTCGATAAATACCTGGAAAACTTCGAATATTAAGCACGAATGAAACCCATTACTGGTGAAGAACAGGGAAATTGGGGGAATTACACAGAAAAACACAAGCAATGGCAAAATGAATTCGAACTCAATATAAGTAGACATCATAATGAAGCAAAGTTGTATGATTACCAAAGCTGAAAAAGAAGAAAAAAAAAGAAAAGAAAGAGAAACCCACAGGAGAATCATGAACTAGAGCTAATGCGATCAGAACAAACATCAACAGAAGAAAAGTAACACCTTTTTCCCAAATAAAGTCATCGACCGAGCCCACAAAACACGAACTTCAACAGAAGAAAAGTAACACCTTTTTCCCAAATAAAGTCATCGACCGAGCCCACAAAACACGAACTCCACCGTGCATTCTCCAATCCTCTCAAAAAGAAGCCATCAAACTTATCTTCCTAAGCAAGAATCCAAGGTCTCAATGAATTTTCTTTCTGGGATTTTTTAAAACTGTCTTTTCCTTTCGGCAGAGTACAAATTTGTATTCAAGGTCAAAACACAGGCAGGGAATCCAGAATCTGTACAATACGCATTAAGTTCTCCCTTCAACGTGTGAACACGCATGATTTTCTTCTAAATTTTTTAATCATTTAGAATAAAATAATTCTCCCTTCAACGTGTGAACACGCATGATTTTCTTCTAAATTTTTTAATCATTTAGAATAAAATAAAATAATGAACAACTTCCAACGAGAATCAATATGCAGGGCCCAGTTAGAATAGAAATCCCTCCCTTACAAGTCAACAATTACCCTAATACCGAAGGAACTGATTTCATTAACATTTTATTCATTCTCTATTCCGCCGTTACACGATAGAACAAGACAGAAAAACCTTCATCTCGAAAACTTCGCATCAAGAAAGATATTATAAAATTAGACTCGCGTATTTCAAAATTTAGGTCAAAAACGAAATCATAAAATTCCTTTAGCTCACTGTTACTGAAAAGTGTGAATAAAGACGAATCATCGGATATGAGTAAAATAAAATTCCTTTAGCTCACTGTTACTGAAAAGTGTGAATAAAGACGAATCATCGGATATGAGTAAAATCAAGAGGCAGTGACTGGTGAAAGAATGAATGAGAATGATTCGAAAGTAAAAGAACCTACTATCTTACTTACCAAAGTGGAGCACAAGCTGTTCTCCATTGAAATGATTAAATGAATTTGCAGCCGCATGAAGAGCAAGGACATCAGTCTAAAACATGCCTACTAAAAGGAAAAGCGCCCTACACAATTTATCTCCTGCATCTGTAATAATTGAATTGAATTCACAATGCTCGTTTGCTTCGGATTTCAGCCAAATGATTGTGATTCTTCCTCTCGAACTTTGAATTCGCTTGGTGTCGACTCTCGGACTAGTGAGCTCCGCCGGAGTAGAACGAGTGGGATTGAAATTTGAAATGTTTGTGTATATGTATTCTTGATCATTTTGAATGTTTGTGCCGCCATTTTCTTTATTTTGAGCTCTGTTCTTTTGTCTTCAACGGCGATCGTAATGGATCATTGGCAATCTGGATTTGCTGTCCCTCGATCTTCCCGCCATGACCATCCTAAAGTTCAATCCTTATAACCCTCTTACCCAAAAAGAAAATAAAAAGCATCTTTTATCCCAAAATATTTATATGAATAAAATTCATATATTTTTATAAGCATAAAATTTCAATTTTTACCCATAAACATATAAAGTCGTGTCAATTTAATCAAATTGCTTTTTTTTTTTTTTTTTTTTTTACTAATTTTAAACCAAAAATAATAATAAATAAATAAATAAATCTAAATTAATTTTTCACTTATTCTCAAAATTTTCAACCATATCCTTCCTCGTGGATATACAAAAAGCATGAGAACGACTCATTTTTTTCATACACAAACGTGCTAAAAAGCTGGGTAGAGAAACAGTTCTAGATGGGGTGCGGGCTATAATTCAGAGCACGTACCCAAAGGGAAGGGTTTGGAGCCATCTTGACTCACAATCGCCGAAAAAGGGAAGGGTTTTCCCTCTAGAGTAGAAAAATCTTGATCGGGATAACGTACCCAAAGCTAGGTATTTGGTTAAAATTGAGGGAAAGGAAGCATCTGCAAATGTTCCTAATATTTGGGCCTACATTGCCTTTTAGCCCAACACAGAACTGGGCCAATTTCCAGATCACCAAGATTGTGACTTGTGGGCCCACTAGATCCACCCTTTCATCCATGTTGCAATAAAACTTTAATTTATTCATAAATAATAATCCAAAATTACCTATTTATATATATTTTTAATTGCCTTTCCTTTTTCAAATTCAAATTTGTTTTATTTATCTTCATCACATTTTTTCATTTTAATTTTCATACCAAAAAACCCACTTATTTCACCAATCAAACTCAAGAATCATGAATAATTTAATAAATTTGTAATTTTTTTTAATTTCATTTCAAATTTATTTAAGTTTTTTTCGTTTATGTCATCCACCATTTTATTAAAAATTTATTTTTATTCTTTTATTATTTAAAGTTGAGGGTTTATATAAATTTTTTTTAATTAATTATATTAAATAAAGGTAATTTTTAACCCGAATTAAAGTTGAATATGAGTCTATGTTTGGTTTGAAACATATACAAAATAGACACAAACATGTGTATTACCAAATTTGTAGCAAAGAAAGCATTTTTTTTTTCACCTTTGTGTCATTTAAAACAAAAAAACAAAACTAAAAATTAAAATTTTATTAATTTTTTAAATGTAAAAGGCAAAAAGCTCCAAAAAGCTTCCTAGTTTGAACAAAGGGGAATCCAACGGCGGAGGATTGATTTCGATCATCTTGATTCTTATGTGGCACATATAGGCTTTTGAACACAGGTCTGCTACTTTTCGAATCCCACGTGGCCAATTTTGATAGGTTGATCAGTGAACGCCAAAGCTAGAGAAATATTTTTCATGCTTATCCTGTGCAAAGCTGGCACTCTATAATTACGACATGTGTAAATCAACCAATAAAAAGTCGATATATTCACTGGTAACTTTTCTGGATATAATTATCATAATTTATTAACAAGTAATAAAAATAATTTAAAATAATATTTATGTATGAATAATTATTACATTTGAATAGTTAATTAATTTTTTTTAGTTATAATTTGTTATTGTTAATTACAAATTTGATTAGCTATAATGATTATATGGACAAAAACGAACAATATCTGTTAACGATGAGCTTGTACTTGGGCGGTTACAATGGTTACAAATGGAATCAAAATCAGACACGGAATAGTGTGCTAGCCGAGAACATTAGACCCTCAAGAGGGTGAGTTGTGAAATCTTACCTTTATTAAAGAGGGAAACGAAACATTTTATTGTAAGGGT